GGTTTAATACATAACACTCTTCTGATAACATCAGTGGCCTCGAATATGCAATCCCAAAGCATAACATTAGGAGAGAGTTCTAGAAAAAAGATGCACGGCCTTTCTGGGAGGAAGGTTTGCTTATTACTACGAGAGAGGAGATGGCTTCTTACTCAGCTTACTGGCCGGGGAGCCTTGCCTGGGGTGGAGAGAATTAGAACCATAAGGGAAATGTCTATTTTAAAGACGTAGGGATGTTACCAATATATTAGATGAAAATTTATGATATATTTGGTTGTGAAAATGTTTCTATAAAAGGATGAAGAAACTATATTGAGAAAATATACAAGATCCTATACGTTATTTAAATTAATCACAGTAATGGCTAGGCTAAGAATTGGACAGTAAAACAAACAAGAGTTAAGATAAAGAACATTTTACCTGTAATGATTGAAATCTACAGAGAATCTCTTACATTGGGTATGCTGGTTACTACTCTAATTACGGACACCAGGAAACATCTTTATTGTAAATGAAAAAGTAAATATTGTAAAAATATTTACTGGAATATTTGCGTCTTCATTTTTAAAAAAATCACCCACACATCATTTCTCCTATTTATTTCTGTGGGCTTCTATCAATCCTGAAAAGATGAGATAGTAAGTCTGTATTGTTCCATCTTACTTAAAAAAAGAAAAATCCTTTGTTTAAGCTTAGGGGAGCTTGCGATTTCTTTCCAGGGACTTCCTATCGTCTTAGAACTTCTGTAATATATTTTGTGTAAAACCACAGGATAAGTCTTCTTGTTTGACATACAAACATAACTTTCTCCCCCACTTTTATTGTATGCATTCCCACTCTGTGAAGACCTGTTGGGGGTTTCTTGACTATCTGTTCCATAGGCATTCTATTACACATTATTCTGTTTGGTCTTCATAATTGCATTGAGAGTGAAATATCACTGTATTTACTTTGCAGACAAGGCAGCAGTAGCTCCAGACATAAAATAAGTTGCCCAGGATGTCATAACTTATAAATGATGGGGAAGAAGGGACTGAAGGCCAGGGGTGCCCAAAGTCAGTGTCCGTATCATTGTGGTCTAGGAGAAAAATGCCCTAAAGTGTCTCTTTTCCTTCAATGCTAATAAATTTCTGAGGCTAGCAGGACCCAGTCTTTTGCTTAGGCACCAAAATTTAAATAAGAGTTTGACCACATCTAACAAACTAAATATTTTTTTCCTATGGTTCTATAATAAAGGATGAAAAAAATTGCTTACCTCTGTCTTTCGGGAATCTTTTATAACTACAGTGTAAAGGTTTATAGACCACCGTAGATACTACATTTAGTTGAATGTCTAGTGTTAAGACTCATGAGTGGCAGAGACGTCTGGGGTGAATTATATTTTACTAACCTAACCCTGCCCTGTATCACCAACCTTGCTTTTCAGCTTCTATTTTTCATTGCATCAATATCTGTCCTTATCATCATAATAATCTTTCAGCAGAGTCAAGCATTTTATGAGTTAGTCTATAGGTATTGCTATTCCACAGATATGCTAAGATCCCTTAATTTATGACTTGAATGTCTGAGTAATCAGAACATTCCAAGTCCACTTAATTCTGGATCCAAATCCCTGAATGTTTTTCTCAGAGAAAATATGATCTCTGAAGGTGATCTCAGACTGGGCCAGGCTCCTCGAAGTCCTCTGGCCTCAGACTAACTGGGTTTCTTTTTACTTTCTGGCTATCAAAAGATACATTAGCTCACCATCTCTATACATGTCTATACCACCCCTCCCCAGTCCCAACGTGTCCTCCATAAGCTGAGCCGTAACTGAGTGGCTTCCAAATACTACACCATCGTTTTATTGACTATTTGTATTTTTAATATTTTTATGAAGACGGCATTACAGTTACTTGTCTCTTCATTTATTTGCCTCCAAGAGACCATCAACACCATATTACCAGTCTTAATAAGTTACGCTGAGTTGACAAACCTGGGTAATTTGTACAGCATTAAAAATATTCTGTCCTTTAAGGCTAGACATATGTCCTCATCCAAATCTACAGACTTTCTGACACCCCATGCAGATATTTTGGTGATGCCATATTTATTTATGATTATTTCA